ATGTCACCTGGCGTGGGGACAACGTGCAGCAGAAACGTCGCAGGTGGTTCGGGGGGGAAAATAGGAGAGATGGAGCTCAGCAGCCCCGAGCATGAAAAGTGTGTGTGTGTGTGTCTATCCCCATCCATCCATCCTCCCCTCATCCCCGTGGTTTGCCAAGGCGATCCCGCTGCTGGGAAGGGCGCAGGGCTCCGGGGCACCCCCATGGCCCCCTAATCACCCCACGCTTCGGCTAAGCAGATTTAAATTAAACTGGAATAATGGTGGCACAAGCACTGGGCTTATCATTCCTCATCTTTCCCAGGGACAGGCAGCGGCTGGCGACGGCCACCGCTCTGCCCCAGAGCCGTTGGCTGTTGGGAGAGGGAGGAAGAGGCTGGAGGGGGGTTGTCAGCCTCGTGGGGATGTCACAGGATGCTTCGGCTGTGGCTTATACACCCATCCCACACCCTCAGCCGAGGAAGGAGCTGGCGGCACCATTTGTGCATTTATTTCTTTTCCCGGTTAACAGAAAGGGGTGTAAAAGCGGGGGATGTCGGTGTTCGGAGCTGAGCCAGCGCCTGCAGGGCCACAGCCTGGCGTGGGGGCAGTGGGGGCTCAGACGGGGCCGTAGAAGCGCCGGTACGCATCCTGGAAGCCGATGTGGTCGGCCAACTCATCGCAGTCGGGGTTGAGCTCGCACACCTCGCGCCTGGCCTCCAGCGGGTCCCGCACGGCACCGTGGACGCTGCTGGGGACAGATGAGGGACACGGGGGATGTCAGAGGGTCCCCAACCCAGCGGAAGGGCCCAGCCAGCGGTGCCCCTCCCAAAACCAGGATTTCATTGCACGTGCTGGATGGGGAACACGCGTCCCGCTCGGTGTCACCCAGGGGAAATCCCCGGTACAACAGGATCAAGCGCTACCTGTCATAGACGTAATTCCTCTTGTGTCTCCGCACCATCTCGTCGCTGGCGCGTTTGGAGATGAAGGCTGCGGGGACACAGCGGGGGGTCAGGGAGGGCCGGGACCCCCCCTCCCTGTCCCTGGGGCAGCAGGGACGAACACCGGGCGCAGACACTCACCTTCGGAGCTGGGCGAGTCATCGGCGCTGACGGAGCGGTCGGCAGCTGAGGGATGGCACGGAGCGGTCGGGGCAGCCGGGGGGACTTGGGGAGGCCCCGCACGGGCTGTGCCCTCACCCCGCTCCTCCTTTTGGGGCGCTCACCCCCCGCCACGCCGTCCCCTCCTCACCCACACCCCCTGTACCTGGCAGGGGGAGTCCCAATCCCCATCCCAGCCCTGCACCCGCCCCCCAAAGCTCTCTCCAAGCCCCTTCGCTACCTCCAGCTGAGAGCAGAGCCCTTCCTGGGGTGCAGCATCCCCCCAGCCCCAGTCCCCGTCACACACCCCCTGGACCCCCCGTACCTCTGCGGCACAGGCCAAGGGCGAGGAGGGCCAGGAGGCTCAGCAGGATGAGGGGCTTCATGGTGCCTCTCTGCATGGGTGCTGTGCTCGGTGCAGCCCGGGGCCGGCAGCCGCCAGCACAGGCGGCAATTGTGGTTTAGGGTGAACTCGGTTCCCCCGTGATGGGCCAGTGCCCACAGGGAGGGAAACACGGCCCAGGGCCAGTGGAGATTTGCTGGTGGGCCCAGCCCTGCCCGCCTGGCAGCACCCAGTCCCTAACTGGGATGGGAGACAGGGCACTGGCTGCACTCCCCAGTCACGGACTGGTCTGTCCCGTATCCCGTGGCTGGATCCCAGCAGTGCTGCAGCCATGCTAGGAGAGTTTCATAGAATCACAGAATGGTTTGGGTAGGAAGGGACCTTGAAGACCATGCAGTGCCACCCCCTGCCCTGGGCAGGGCCACCTCCCCCCAGCCCAGGTTGCTCCAAGCCCCGTCCAACCTGGCCTTGAACACCTCCAGGGATGGGGCAGCCACAGCTTCTCGGGGCAACCTGCCCCAGGGGATCACCACCCGCACAGCCAACAATTTCTTCCCCAGATCTCACCTCAATCTCCCCTCTGTCAGTGTCAAAGTGTTCCCCCTTGTCCCATCGCTCCCCTCCCCGATCCAGAGTCCCCCCCAGCTCTCCTGGAGCCCCTTTAGGCACTGGAAGGGGCTCTGAGCTCTCCCCTTTTTGGCCTTCTCTTCTCCAGGCTGAACCCCCCCAACTCGCTCAGCATGTGAGAGCCTATTTCCTGCCAAAACCCAGCGGGGTTTCCTCTCCACGCAGGGCCAACAGGGATTTGTTGGCCAATTTTTGCTTTGGGAACCTGCATGTGCTCCTTCTGTGGCGTCACCATCACAGCCCCTGGCCGGGATTGACTGCCGTGGCCCAGGAGGAGAGGGCGAGCAGGCGCGCTTGCCCTTGGTCTCCACGAGCTGTGCCACGCCACATCCCACGGGCAGATGCTGCGCACCGGCACTGGCGCGCCAGGCAGCGCCTGTTCCCAGAAACAGGACTTCAGGAAGAGGTGCAGCACCACTTAAAACCCCCAAATGGAGCTTTGCAAGAACAAAAAGTGTGCTGCTGGTGCAGTTCAGGCACCGAGCGGAGGTGAAGGGGAGTGGAGCAGCTGGAGAAGAGGAATCTCTTGTTCCTCTGTCCTTTTACCTCCTACTCTCCACCAGACCCCAGCAGCGCTCCGGGTGCCCACCCGCCTCCAGAGTTTGCTCGTATTTAACCCCCGGAGGGCTCTGAGCAGTGGGAGCCCCCAGGGCCACCTGGGGTGACATTCCTCTTTGGGATCCTGACCACTTTCCAGACTTTCAGATCCTATAAATCCCAGCCCTGTCTTGAAAAGCGGAACCGGAGGCTTTGGGGCGGAGGAGGAGAGAAATGCTGAAGCCAGAGCCTTTGTCAAACAAACCCATAAACTATAGACTACGCGGGCCAAGCGCACACAGCGGGAGCCAAGACCGGGGGAACAACAGCTCCAATTTATTTAGATTATAATGCAGCGAGGGAAGGCTTGTTTACGACAGAAGGAAAATATGCCTAAGTCAGTCAATCGCAGGCTCTGGCTGCCTCTAATTAAAACCAGAGGCCCGCGCTTGGTGGAAATCGCCACCATTGTTCTCAGAATTTGTATTTCCCCAGCACCCAGGGCACGGCCTCTCCTCGGGACGGCACGCACTAACAGGCGAGGAGGACAACAGGTGACCAGAGAACCTGCTGCCCTCGGCAGATCCGGTGTCTGTTGGAAACAGACTCACCACCAGTCCTCTTCGGGCTCAGTAAGACTCTCCTCATCACCTGCCCAGCCCAGGGGAAGAGTCTTTTCTTCCTTTTGAAGACACCCCTCACTCGCAGGGCTTCACGGACGCCCCGGCAGGCAGACTCCAGCAAGTCCCTGCTTCCCTGGCTGGCAAACTTCTGATGAGACGGTAAAGAACAACTCCAGATGGGTAAAACCAAACCTAGTTTGGTTCCAGGAGTCAAGGTGGAGGTTTCACGGGGAAACATGTGGCCTTTGCCACGAGGCCACAAAGTCAAGATGGGGCGGTTCTAACCTCTGCTCGTCTCCACGCGCATGAACGGTGCAGCCGTGAATCCTTCACACTGTAGTCCTCAGAGAAGTGTCCTCAGCGCGTGACTGTTGGGAGAGGAGCTGGGTTGGATAATACCGGGGGGGGGGCGGTGGTGATACACAACGGGGGGGGGAGGAATAAAATAAATGGCAACAAGGAACTTGATGTGATAAAACAGCTGCTGACATGTCTGTTCTGATGGGTCACGGGCAGACAACTGTTTAAAGACATGGATGCTGAAAACGAACACTGCAAAAAAGCGGCAAAAAAGTCCGATGTGGCTATTTACACTCCAGCTGTACAAACTGCCATGGCAGCGGTTACCCACCCACGGGCTCCGTGTGCTACAGCTCCCCGGCTCCTCATTCCTGTGCACGGCACAGCCTCTGTGCTTAAGGCACCTTTTTTCCTCTAATGCACATCTGAAATATCTTTAAGGCCACAAATTTGGCTTCAGTAAGCAAGAATCACGCGCATCGCAGCGCTAAAGAAGGGTGTGAGTGTACAGACAGGCTCTGGCTATCAGATCTGTAGGATTCTCCTCCCTGTTCAACTGAGCAGGGAATAGGAAATTGTCCTCTATTCCCAAAAATCCTGATGTGTTCTTTTTTATTTCTTCACAAATTTTGATCGAATTGTGCAAGTCCGGCAGCTTTTCAGTCCCAAATTTCTTCTGGCCTGACAAGATGAAGGCGAGTTTGCGTGGTTTGAACATGCCACGCGCAGAGTCCCATTTCCCAATGCACTGAGACGAGGACAAACTTCCCCGCAAAATGTGCAGAATCTCCTCAGGTCCTCACTGGGGCTCCTTGAACGTCGTGATGAGTTCTCGTTGCTCTTTACCAATTGCCTGGAAGGAAAACAACCACCACTGAACTCAGCAGAATGCTTTCCTCCACAGACGCCAGCGTTCAGGATGCAAAGCAGGCTGATGTAAAACAGAGCGTCAAATACACTGCCCTCCCCAGCACGTACGGACTACAACCCACGAATAACACATGTTCACCCACAGAAACATCCCGCCCAGCGCACAGGGAAAAACATCCAAGACCTCCAGTGGAAATGCCCCCAGGCCTCCCAGGCCAGTTTCAGCAGTACTGGGCTCCTGGTGAGGCCTTTGAGAAGTGGAGGGCTTAAATATAGCGCAGCCGTTTGCCAGTCAAGCCACAGAATCGTGTTTCTTTCAGGCTGATGCTGAAAAGAGAAGGGGGTTTTAGTTGTTGATTTTTAATTTTTACCTGCCAGGCATGTTTACGAGCTTGTATCAGCTGCTGCAGCTCTGCAATCCTATCCCTCCCCGCAAGCACAGACTCTGCCACCTTCCTGTTCTCTTCCTCCTTCTCCTTTAGGACTTTCTGCAAGTACGACCTGTGCTTAAGGAGGTACGGCACCATAGCGCTGCGAACGTCCTCTTCCGGGATCCCGCTGGGCCGCCTGGGAATAGAGAGATGTGAAGCAACCGGAGTGCAACAACTCTGCACAGCGATTAGTCTCACGCACCTCAATTGGAAGCCGAGCTGCTGCCGTAAGGGATCAGCTCACCGACTCCAGCAATTCACCTTGAGGACATCTAGAAGGTGCATGTCTAACAGACACCCCAGCGCGTAGCTCCCTAACGCCAGACAGGAAGGAATGAGAGGAGTTCTGCCCAAAACTCTGCCGTTAGTTGAGGCCTGAAGGCAGGCAGGATGTAATTAACTCCCCCAAACACAGAAACAAGAAATTGTGACGATGCTTTTGATTAAAAGACCCAGCCTGCCTTTAGGGCGAACAAAAGGCAGTGTGTACAATTTCCAGTGCCTGCTGAGTCCCTGAGCAAGACATCCCAACAAGGAACGTGGATGTGAGCTCTGCTATTAGAACTACTTAGCTGGGGCTAAAACATGCTGTCAGCCTTTTGACTTATTCAGAAACGAGTTTAGCTCCCCTCTGGTCTCAGCGGCACTTACCTCCTCCTTGCACTGAGGAAGCACAGATAGATACATGATGTACAGAAGCATAGATAAAACTTATTTTTGGATGTTTTAGACACAATGACATTGAGATACATGAGGTTTGCAGCACAATGCCTAGAGGACACACCAACATGACCCAAACATCACAAGGGAACTGACTTTTGCCCTTGTAGGGAACATGCCTCCGCACACACACGCTCCCAAGACTGCCCTCCACAAGACTATCCATACCACGCAGGCTCTTCCCGGTTCTTTGCCTCCTCCACGATCTTATCCAGTGAATTAAAGAGCACCTCCAGATTCCCTTCATCCTTTACCTCCTCGATCTCCTCCTGTGAAGGAAGGACACCACTGGGATTCAGCAGGACCCAAACTGAATTGACATGGGCATCGTTCTGCTTGTGAGCCCTCGCTTTTCCCTGGATGAAGGCTACACCCTGGGAATCACCAGGTATCAAGTCCCCATTCCTGGAAGTATTTAAAAGCTATGTAGACGTGGCACTTAGGGACATGGTTTAGCGGTGGAGTTGGCAGTGTGAGGTTTACAGTTGGACTCGATGATATTAAGGGTCTTTTCCAGCCTAAGGAAAGTAGTGGATTCCCCAACACTGGACTCTTTTCAGATTCAGCTGGGCAGGGAGGGTGCTGGACCATCTTGTCTTGCTTTTGCCAAAAAAGGTTGGACCAGGTGATCCTTGTGGTCCCTCCCAACGCGGGATTCTGTGACTAAACGATTCTATAATTCTACAGCTCTTTCTAGGGAAGACAAAGATGCCTGGAAGAATCTCTGGGGCGCAGCCTTAACTTTCTGGTTTCGTCATTCAGTAAATGTATTTTCTACCCTTAACATCAACGCGTTCGGCGCTTTTACACCGAGGGCTCGCGGCCCCTCCGGAGGCAGGCGCGCC